TAAGCTCTAACAAAATTAAGAGGTCCTTATCCTTAAGCTTTTCTCATTAACTCACTCTAATTGTGAGAGATTCTATGAGGATTATAAAAATGACTGTTTATATGATTACATCCTCAGTGCCAATTTTTGACAATTATAGAAGTATACAAAAAATTGATTCATTTTAAAAAATAATGTTCCAAGATAGAAGGCAGCCAATAAGCAGTAAGTGATACCCAGTTCCTCTCTGGACTCTCAAAGCATCATATTTTAAGTGTGTTACTCTCTTTGCTTTTATTTATGCTGCCACTATATGAAGACTAGAAAATGAACACGTGCTGGTAACAAGCCATATTTCAACTACATTTTTTTTTTCAACTACATCTTAAGAAGTAATGAGACTACACAGGAGAATTGAAACAAAGAAGAAAAAGACAAAGTGAGACAACCTGGGGAAAAATACTGAACAAGCGCTCAACTCTAAACATTCAAAGCTATCAAAGCATACTGTTAGCCAAAAATTGCTTCTCAAAAGCCCAAGAATCAGCCTTTAATCTGTTGTTTAAAAATCACAGGACATTTCACATTCTGGAAATCTTAGTACCAAAAGTTCTTTCATGGTTGTTAACTGATAGGTAACTCTGCTGAAAACCAAGCTGTGAAGTATAAATGTGGTGCCCTGATTTTAAAGTGCCAACAGAATGATTTTTTGCTTTGTAAAGTAAACCAAACTCACCAGATCATAGGTCAAACAAAAATAGATTTTGCTGAATTGGTTTTTCTTAAGATTTTATTTATTTATTCATGAGAGACAGAGAGAGAGAGAGAGAGAGAGAGAGAGAGAAGAGAGAGAGAGAGAGAGAGGCAGAGACACAGGCAGAGGGAGAAGCAGGCTCCACACAGGGAGCCCCATGTGGGACTCTATCCGAGGCCTCCAGGACCACGCCCTGGGGCGAAGGCTGGTGCTAAACCTCTGAGCGAACCAGGGATTCCCTTCTTTTTCTTTTTCTCTTTTTCTTTTTCAAAGAACAACTGAAAAATGAAAGATCAATACTAGGAAAAGCCTAGCTAAATGAATCTTGACAATTCCTTGGAAAAAAGATGGTAAACCAAAGTAAATCTTGAATTCGATAACACGTGCACAACAATATATTTATTAGACATGGCCAACCTTCTGTTTTAAGACTGGTATAACTAATAAACTGTCAAAGAAAAAAGTGGAAACACACGCACTTTTATTTTATTTAAAATTGATGAACTAACCAATAATTTGTTCTGGAAAGTAAATGCAAATGAAAACCACCTCATAAGTTCGGTTTTGAAATGAAAATTGGCATAATATTCATTCTGTGACTTCAAAGACATAGAAAAGCTTTTAAGTTTATTTTTAGTTAAATTTAATTATCTTCACTTGTGACAATTTGTCTCACAATCTCTTAAGAGGTATGTAAAAAGTAAAATCTTTTCAGGGATGATACAGATTACGGATAGAGAGGAGAACTTGGACGAGTTACTGCTATACGATGGTGAATAGCAAGGCTTCTGTCTAAATCTTTAAGGCCGCCAAGCAGAGGAGTCAGTCTTTAAGCCTGTACTTTGTGAACTTAGAAAGTATATTTAAAAATTCATAAATATTAAAGCACATTTGTTTTAACTAGAGATATGCTGACCAGCAGAACAAATAGTCACCAGAGCAACATGAGCTGTGGTTTCTCTCCACAATCTCACTTCTTGATTTGTATCTCAGAAATACAAATTCATTCTCCAAACAGGAAGCTCTTGTTACCTTTAGGAGCAAGAACTTTTTTTCCCTTTCATTTTCTTTTTTTCCCTTTCATTGTTACCTTTAGGAGAAAGAACTTTTTTTCCCTTTCATTTTCTGACTGGATGAATAAAAATAATGATATAAACAACAAAAATGTGTATTTGTCTTTTCATTATTCCTCTTAAGGCAATCCTGGCATAATTCTCTGCCAAGTAATTTGGGAAGATAACATCTGCACTAGCTTTCATCACCCAGCTACCTGACCCTGATATTTAAACCAGAGAAGAAAACTTTTAAAAAGGCTCAATGTTTCCATCTGTGTCCCTTATTCTTTTCAGAACTTTCCTCATTGCTCAAGGCCAGTTCCTCCACTGAGGACACCTTTGCCCCTTGGCAGTGGGGGCTACTCACCGCTCTGGGGACCCCCAGCAACAAAGCTGCCCACCAGGCGCACAGCCTGCCTTCCTCAGGGTGTTACTCACTGGTTTCTGAATTCCCTCCAGATGCTTTGTTCCATTACCTCCCAGCTTAGGTATCAGCTTCTTTTTCTCTCCATGGACTCTGCCTGTTAGGCACACATACTCGCCTATATTTCAGTCATTAAAATATTATAATACCCCAAATGGAGTAAAACAAACAGACAAAACAACTCCAACCCTTTCTGGACTGGTCCACTCCTGTTCTCTGCCCTCCTCAAAGCACACACTCATCTGCCTCAACTCGGAGGCTCACAGGTAGTACTGGATCGGCTACCTGCCCTTCCTTCTCATCTCCCAACATCCATAATCCCTCCTTCTGCACTGGTGCTATAGGAGCTTTTATAAAATACAAGTCTGCTTAGATCATTTGCTGCCTTATATTCCAGCGATCCCATTCTGTCATTTTCAAAAGAAAATCCAAACTCTTTAATATGGGGTACAGTTATTCATGATCTGATATATTCAGTGCAATCTCTTAGCCACCTCTAGCCTCGCCTACATTCTAAACTCCAGGCGTCCTGAATCCACTGCTGTACTTGCAGCTCCCCTCCGTGCTGTCCTCATCACCCTGTGTGTTCTGGCACATGCCTTTTTTTCTTCCAGAAGCACCCCCCCCCTTTTTTCTTTTTAAGATTTATTTATTGGGGCAGCCCCGGTGGCGCAGCGGTTTAGCGCCGCCTACAGCCCAGGGCGTGATCTGGAGACCCTGGATCGAGTCCCACGTCGGGCTCCCTGCATGGAGCCTGCTTCTCCCTCTGCCTGTGTCTCTGCCTCTCTCTCTCTCTCTGCATCTCTATGAATGGATAAATAAAAATCTTTTAAAAAAAAGATTTATTTATTTATTCATGAGAGACAGAGAGAAAGAGAGGCAGCAACACAGGCAGAGGGAGAAGCAGGCTCCATGCAGGGAGCCTGACGTGGGACTCGATCCTGGGTCTCCAGGATCATGCCCTGGGCTGAAGGCGGCACTAAACCGCTGAGCCACCCGGGCTGCCCCAGAAGCACCCTTATCTTGATTCCCCTGACTTGTAAATTTCTACTTACCCTAGTTCACAAGTCACCTTCTTTCTGAAACCTTCTCTGACTCTCCTCTCCCGAAGTAGTCTGTGGTCTTCCACTAGGTCTTCCTAGTCTGGCCTCACACAGCACGCTGTGTCCTGTATTGGAAGCTTTTTAAGAGCACCTACGTCTTACTTACGACTTTATCACCAGCCAATTTCACAGTGTTTGGTACATGATGGGCACCTAGTATATGTGTGCTTAATAATCATATTCAATTTTTATTCACTTTTCCTCTGTCTCCCCAAGTGCAGGATTTATATCTCTCATTTTCAGAATTGCAGGTAAATGCCACATAACTAGATATTCATAAAGATTAATGTCTGTTGAAGGAACCAATACTATAACTTCCTCCAAACTCTCTCTGTCCCACTGATCCTGCAGGCTGATGAAAGATTACTTTCCTAATACACCAACTTACCATGGTTCCCATCACCTATGCCACCTAGCTGAAACTTTCACTGGCTTCCTATTACCTGTAGGATGAAGCCCAGCTCCCTCACTTGGTTCTTCTGCATAGAAATGCACTTTCCTTGACCTTCACACACTCTCTTCTCCTCCTTCAAATCTCAGCTTAGGCTTTCCCTGCCTACTCAAACTAAAATTGTCTCTGCATGAGTCTGTGACATTAACCTGATTTAGTTTCTTAATATCCTCACTTATTAGAGCTGAAATGAGCTTCACAGGCTTTCTGCCCCGCCCCCCCAAGTATTTTCCTATTGCCCCCCTCACTAAAATGTAAGGTCCATGAACACAGGTCCCTGGTTGGCTTTGTTCAATGCTGCATCCTCTGTTCTAAAGCAATTCTAAGAATCCAAGATTAGGTGTTGAACAATTGTTCAGTGAAGGAAACTCAAAGCAAAAGTACTTCATGTTGGCATTCAAGGTCCTCAATGACCTGACCATACTCCATTTTCCTAGCTTTATGTCAAAGCAATTCCTCATATGACATCTGTTTTATGATAATCTCCGTTATGCTTTCTGATGGGGCCTTCTTTTTCTTCCTATTTAAATTCTCTTCATCTTTTACAGAAATTCCCGCTTTCATAATGCAATCCGAAGTGGTATCATCCTTAGCTATATTATTTATCTGTTTAATGTCTTAAATATCTTTCAATTTTCTAGAGCTCTCTCTCTTGCAATGGATTTTTTTTAAGAAATAGGTTTTAAGTTACAACAAAAGATTAAAAATTATTAAAAGGAAAAATTTTATATACTAAGATTTAATAAGATTCAGACCTCATCTTACCTATTTTAAGAAAACTGCATGCCTTCTTTAAGTAAACCAAAGGGGTCTGCTTTCAGGTATAATTTGCAACATAAGAGCTAACAGGCTACATCCAAAATTTGTGAGTGACAGTTGGTCCTAGTAACAACTCTGATGTCCATTTTAATTGCAAATCACATTGGCCGCTGAACATACTATGAAAAGGCAGTCAAAAAGTAACTAACTTTTAACTCTGAGCCTAGCATAGTCCTATTGACTAAAATTTTTTTTAAAATATAAACAAAAATATAAATAAAATATAACAAACCATGAACACTTTTGTGATAAGAACTATTAGTCAAAAATACTTTCAAAACTTAGAATGGATTTTAAATAGCTTTACTCATCTGCATCCTGCTGACCCTAGTGGTAAATATATGCAAACATGTGGGCCTAAACATCAGAGAAGACAACACAACATGTAACATGTAAACAAAGGAAACATGCTAACCTGGATACCAACTTTGCAACATTAGCATCCTCTGCTGAACTCATGTCATCCCAATAGGGTTTTCTACGACTTAGCTGCAGGCTGACCTGAGGAAGGCCATCACATAGCTCTGTTTGTGGAATTCTGTGGGCCTGAATAGACCCTTCACTCCTGGATTTGGGGATCTAGAAAATCAAATTCAAGAGAGAGAGATTTTTAAAATCTTTCAAAATAAGTTATTAAAGATGATTTATTGTAATCTATTAACAACATTCCAAAAAAAATCAACCTAGGTATTGAATCAAAAATCCTTAAAAGAACTGTCATATAGCAAGGGGCATGGGGAAGAGGAGACACCCATACTTTCAAGGGGAACAGCCCACGTTTCTTTCCTGGATTCTGATATAAATCTTTGCCAGGCTCACCTTCTCCCAGCTCCCCTTAGAATAATCATTCCGTTTAAAAAGAGATTATAAAAGTATATCTGACTGGCAACCTGGAGTGAACGAAAGAAGAAGTAGAAAAAGGCACGGTGAAAAAAAGGGGCTGAGAACCATTGAAATGAAGGATGCCAATGTCAAAAATATTTCTATATTTACTACCAAAAAGCAAAATACACAGCAGTTCGCTAACAGTTTCTGTTGTAATCTTTTTTTTTTTAGGGCAATGTATAGTCTCATACATTTTTAACTAAGGAAAAAACTAGGAAAAGACCCACCTTTTTAGTTCTCTTATATTTCTGGACACATGAGGCCACAGTGCCAAATGAAGTATAATGACTTCTTTTATCTGAAGTTATGTGTTCCTTCCAACCCCAGAAATACCATCATGCTTTTATTTTTTTTAAATTATTTTTATTTGTTTAATATTTTATTTATTTATTCATGAGAGACACAGAGTGAGAGAGGTGGAGACACAGGCAGAGGGAGAAAAGCAGGCTCCCTGCAAGGAGCCCAATGTGGGACTCGATCCCAGGCCCCGGGATCACACCCTGAGCCAAAGGCAGATGCTCAACTGCTGAGCCACCCAGGCATCCCCATCATGCTTTTATATTAGATCAGAAAGAATGTGAATACAGCCAATGAGCTTCTCCTAAAATTGTGTAAAAATCATATGAGAGTTTCAGGAAAGACTCAAATCCTTGGATCAATTGTAATTATTATCCTGGAAGCTTTTTCTCATCTCTAAGCTTTCTCATGCTTGTCCTTCAACTGGAATGTCATCCATTCATCAGTGGCCACTGATGGTCTTAGTGGCCTAAGACCAAACCTTAACTCCCTTTGAGGTTGAGATAAGAATCCACTGCCCACGGGGCTTCTCTAATTAATCTCAGGCCTTAATGACCTTTCCCAACTTTGAATTCCTGTAATGTGCCACGATAAAATCTACGTTTGATTTCATGTCATCTGATACCTTCACCCTGGTTGTTTTATATTTCTAGGTTATACAGCCTCAACCAGATGCCTAGGGACAGAGATTAGAGTCTCATTCTCTTCCTTTTCCTCCCCTCTCCCCTGTTACTCTCTTCCTCTTATGTATATTATTAACAATTGAGACATCAAGTTTAGCAAAGTTTTGAACCAATTGATACTGTCAGATAACACAGTATTCAACTACAAGATATTTCCAAGACAGTGACTGACCAAGAAACTAGGATAACAGTCAATTAAAAAAGTAATATAGGGATAATTATAAATATTTAATAAATTCATAGCTCTATGAGGGTTACACAAAAATAACATTGGAAAATAATTTAGCAGCTATATTTAGCGCAAAGTAAACACTCAGTAAAAACTAGCTTTTATTAACATTATGTGAAATTTGTCCAAATCTGATGATTACTAATGAATTGTTCTACTGTATTTCTCCATAGAAGTTTTATAAGTTCATGAAAATCAAGGAAAGCAAGGCGAAAAAAAAATTAAATTATGAACTATATAGTTCATTGACATATTTGCCAAGATTACTTATGAAAGAAATATTAGGAGCACCTGGGGGGTTCAGTTGGTTGAACAACCAACTCCTGATTTGGTCTCAGGTCATGATCTCAGGGGCTTGGGATTGAGCCCTGCATTGGGCTCCATGCTCAGTGAGGAATCTGCTGGAGATTCTCTCTTTCCCTCTGCCTCTGCCCTTGACTTTTTTTTAAAAGATTCATTCATTCATTCATTCATTCGAGACACACACACACACACACAGAGAGAGAGAGAGAGAGAGAGAGAGGCAGAGACACAGGCAGAGGGAGAAGCAGGTTCTGTGCAGGGAGCCCGACATGGGACTCGATCCCGGGACTCCAGGATCTCGCCCTGGGTTGAAGGCAGGTGCTAAACCACTGAGACTATCAGGGATCCCATGCCCTTCCCTTGCTTGTGCTCACTGTCTTATAAATAAATCTTTCCAAAAAAAGAAATACTGAGATAAATAAGCCAGAGAACACCTGAAAAGTACAAATATATGCTATTATATATTTCATTAAGGGGCTCCTTTTGGCGTGTGGTTATTTTTCATAAGAGTAGACAGGAAAAATACACTGAAAAAGCAGTAAGATTTCAAACTAGTTAGCTAAAAAATCTCATATCCAGACTTAATTCTCTCTTAGTGTTAAAACAAATACAAGGGATGCCTAGGTAGCTCAGTGGTTTAGCATTTGCCTTCGGCTCAGGGCATGATCACAGGATCCAGGATCGAGTCCCTCATTGGGCTCCTTGCAGGGAGCCTGCTTCTTCCTCTGTCTGTGTCTGTGCCTCTTTCTCTGCGTGTCTCTCATGAATAAATAAATAAAATCTTAAAAAAAATAAAACAAATATAAGAGTAGTTGTTTGGCAACATTTCATAGTGTTAAAATAAGGACATGGCATTTTAGGTTCAGTGATAATTTGAGGGTTCTAAATTCAATGCAATAGTTTATGTAAAGGAGAAATATTCTAAGGTAAAAAGGTGATATGCAGCTGATTCCATTTAGTCAGTTTATATTAAAATAGACTAAATAATTTAAATCACTTAAAATTCAGGTACCAGAAACTATATCAGCTATATTATCAAAGTATATTTATGTGATGATTGAATCTCTATAGAAATAAAATAGACATAACTGTCATTGGCCATGAACTTCAAAATATAAACTCAATATATATCTAAGTAGTATAAAGAACTGAACTTGTACATAGAACATGAAAATACTGCATGAGTTTATGAGAGAACAAAATTGTTAGAAAAAACTAGCTCAGTAAATCTAAGATTACTAGAACTATAGAGTATATATACATATTTTAAAAGGAATGCACGTTTTTAAAGGGGATTAATGATACAGTTTTGAAGATGTACCTTGAAGACTATACATTTTCATTACAGAAATGATTGTAGGAAAAAGAGTGATAAAATTTTAAAGCCTCCTGCTTTACTGATGTTATTAATTTTAATACAAATGTATGAACTTTGAGAAATGGAAAGAGATCACTTTCATTTCCTTAGCTGGAATTGAGCTTTGTAGAAATGATTACTGAGTAGGTAGAAGGAATAGTTTTATTGTTATGCTCTGAGTATCCATCTCAGATTGTGTAAAGTTTAGAGGTTGACTTTGAGATGGTACTCAAGGCTCCTTTCATTGTAACTCTCCCAGTCATCCAAGGTTAAGGATACAAGAAGATATCTTATTACTGTGCAAGCTTAAAGCAGTGATTCTAGGGGCACCTGAGTGACTCAATGGTTGAGCATCTGCCTTTGGCTCACGTCTTGGTCCCGGGGTACTGGGATTGAGTCCCTCATCAGGCTCCCTGTGAGGACCCTGCTTCTCCCTCTGCCTATCTCTCTCTCTCTCTCTCTCTGTTTCTCATGATAAATAAATACAGTGGTTCTCACCAGGAGCCAGTTTTGTTTGGAGACATTTCTGGTTGTCATGATGGGGGTGAGGGTATGTGCTACTAGAATCTAGTGGGTAGAGGTCAGGATTGTGGCTAAACATCTTACATTGCACAGGACAGCCTGCCATGAAAAAGAATTACTCGGCCCAAAATGTCAGTATTACTGAGGCTGAGAAACTCTGGTTCAGAGGAATGGTAAGAAGAAACCGACATTGATGCAACTCTTCTCTTTATATACTTTTCTTCTGGTTCCACCTTTTTTTTTTTTTTTTTTTGTTATTGGCATGTTAAAATGTAATGGGCCCATGTCAGCTATTAAGTTTAGCAGAAATGGGCTAAGGAGGTCACCTAGGCCTTCTCTGTCTAGTCAATGGCTTTCTGATTCCCTGAGGTTCAGCTCAGGGACGCAAGCTCTGTGAGGCAAGGATTCCAGATAGGATTAAAGGCCTTATTCTGATAAATGAAGCTAATATGCTTGGAGAGACCCTCCTGCAGCTTCCCTCAGAGCATGTAGCTGTAGTAAGAAAATGGCCAACGAGCTGGGAGACTGGGATGGCCAGCTATCACTTTCCACTGGAGATACCCATTAACTCACACCTCACTTTGCTGCTTTATTTTAGTGATTTCTTCATGATAACTTCTGTTCTTGAAGGTGAAAACTATAAAAGCCCCAAACCATCTATGGAAATATTTTGCTCAGAAGAATCTGCCATAGACTTTTTGAGTTATAGATCTAGGCACATGCTGCGTGATCTATGTGTACCACTGAAATACTAAGAATTCTAGGAATTGTAAAAAGAGCACATTCCATGCATGTATTTACAGGCATGGAACAGACTTAACACAAATAATTGGAGCTCCTTTAGATTTTGAGATTCCATGGGAATAGAAACACAAGAGTAACTTTTGACAATGTAAAATTAGGAAATATTCTCTCAGATGTTGTTGCTATTACTGCTATAAAGAGTTAGTGAACACTTCTCTGTGTTAAGCATGGTTCCAAGAGATTTACATCAATTAATCCATTTAATTGTCACAACAACCCAAAGAAGCAGGGACAATTATCATTACCACCTCACAACTGAGAAAACTGAGGCATCAAGAATTTGAGTTATTTGTTCCATTGAGTAAGTGGCAGAGCTACAGTTACAACCCAGAGTCAGGCTTCAGTACTTGTGCTTACCACTACTTATATATTTGGTTACATGTGAAACACTAGAATTGCAAGAAGAAAAGGCATTTTTGGATGAAGTCATATTACATCCCATAATGCAGGCCATTTGCCCTTTTTTTAGCCATTAGTAGTTAAAACTCTAAATTTATTT